GAAAGTAGTTGAGTAATCGATCACGATGATCGCGCATCGTAGCCATCGAGCCTAGGGATCAGCTTTCACTCGTTGTCAGGTGGCCATTTCCCGCATCCTATCAAAATATTCTTCTTCGCTCTCGTTGGGATAACTCTGTCTTCAAGCCTCATGAAAGGCTTTGATAGGCGGGTTGAATGCCGCAGCCGCATGGTCACGCTTGAGTTCAAGGTTGACATTGATGGATAGTTGATAATTGAGCAGGCTAATGACAATATGTATTTCTTACCTCGAAAGGAAAGAGCAGTGATCATGTAACTTGATGGTTACTTCTGAGGGTGGATACGACCGATCAACCTTGGATCGAAAGTTGATAACTAGTCGCTAAAGCTAACGGGAAGCCACCTGTCTAACACCGATCAGTAGCTAGCAGCATGTCAAATTGAAGGAAGTCCAGAAGTCTATATTACCAGAGCCATCAAATCTTATCTGGAAGTGTCGATTGATCTACGTCGTTCACTTCGATACATTGTAGCCGGTTGAGCAGGTATCGGTAAATGAGGCATAAAATGCACGATACGAATAGCCACCAAGCCGTTACCGTTGCTGTGACGATCGCCGTTGTGGACCACTCGCCGCCGTGGACGGTATAGAGATTGAGCAGAGTGGAAAAGAACCCCATTAGGGAATTCACCAGCGTAGGACTGGTTGTAAGCGACGTGTAAAACGTGGGCCGCAGGACTCACATAATGATTTGCTGGTTTACCCAAATGTAGTTCGTGCGCCACTTGAACCATAACCAGGCAAGACCGATAGACGCACTTCCTGAGAGTATGGACGCAAGAGAGATGAGAAAATCATTCAGTCCCCTCGACACTATGTACCCGACCACACCCATGCTCTCGAGCGCCCTCGATCGCCGCAAGGATGCAAACGTGGAAGGGAAGACGATGTAGCCCGCGAGCAACAACCATGAAAAGATCTTGGCGAGCAGCGACCACCACCAGTCGATATCTTTGTCGTTTTCCAAGACCATCTGGTCATACCTGGAGATAGTGAGCTGTGTCGGTCGTTTTCTTAGCTCATTACTGGTCGGCATGATTGTTTTCGTTTCCCCTCGCTATGACAATACAGTGCAGTAGTTACTGTAAAGTGAGTACGGACAGGCAGATTCTCAGACATATTTATTTTCTCTCGGAGCCGTTTCAGGAGCAAGCCACCCGAACCTGCATCCCGATGTGCATTTTGTGGCTGAGCACTGTGCCACTCTCAACGTGCACAACAAGAGGAATGGATGCAAAATGCTACGTGAGTTTTAACCTTAAGTAAGCGTCTCAACATCAAGTATTGGCTCCGATCTGGCTTCACTTCAGGCTCCAATCATGACTAAGGAGTTCGCACTATAGTCGATCTTCAACTACTTGTTGTGAACCGTCTGCTCAATGGTAATCTGCACACTCTTCTATTGGAAGCATGGTTGGATCAAGTAAATAGGAGCGCCAGACATGTGCAATCGCCCGGTCATCAAAGGTAACCAAGTTCACAGAGGCTGCGTCCGTCTCAAAAAGTACATTGAATAGATGATTACAATCAGGTTGAGTACTTGGAACGCTTGCGTAGCAACGTTCTTTTTACGCTCCACTCCGCCATGCCGATACTAGCTGCGTCTCATGGGAACCCTTAAACTAGGCCATGAAATCATGCTAAGCTTCAATTGCCAACTGGTCCTGACCAGCCACAATTGTGGCCTTGCTACACCGGATGATACAATGTGATGAGGTGGGGTTCCGATGGATGCGTTCCAGCGTCAGCCCCCCACTTCGCAGAAGAAGAGCCCACTCCATCGCGGTCCGCTCCTTCCCGCCGACAGCTAGCATGAGCATGTCCATGGCAGTAGACTCGGGCTTCGGAGGCCACTCGACGACGTGTTCGGCTATCAGCAGGGTACTATCCGCCGCCATGGCCTTGGAGATATGCTGTAGGATACCTCGGGCAATATGGTCGTTATAGTCATGAAGACAATGGCGAATGTAGTAAACCAGGGCCCCTTATTACGTGTTAGTTCCCACAGCGCTGTCGAGGCCAGAATGCCAACATACCTTGGACCGGCTGCTCTTTGTGCATGTCGATAGACATTAGTTTCAATCCCGGTAGATTACCCACTTCTTCGACCCTCGAAATGACAGGCTCTTTGTCCTGCAGCACACAACGCTCCAACGGCAGACCAATGCTCCCGCAGATGGCCTGAACCGCATGACCGCTGCCACCACCGACATCGACCAACAGTACTCTGTCGTTGTCGGCCTTGGCCGATGCTTCGGCAATCCACGAGAAGTCATACACGCCGATGATCGGCGCCAAGCGGTCTAACGCCGTCATTGCCCGCATGAACTCCTCCTTTTTGCCCTGATCATTGTAAATGCCCCACATGTCACTTCCCTGCATCCCCTTCGTGAAGGTAAATGGGCTAGGGCTGAGGCCGTCCGGCTCGTTTCGCCCGTTGCTTTCAAAGTACCGGATCATGTCGCAACCAGACAATCCGTACTCCATCCTAGAAAAGTTAGTCAAAGCCAGCATCGCCATTGAAAAGATTCATACACGACTTGGTCCAAGTCCCCGTATGGGTTACCGTGAAGGAAGATCTTGGACTTTGCAGTGTGCACAACTCGATCAGGCCCGGCTTCTCCCAGGACACCGGTGGAAATGAGCATACGTGAGACCCGCACTGAGAGGTCAACAACAGTTTTGCAGAGCGTTGAGGCTAGGCGGTGTCACTTACTGAGAAGAGAAAGATCGACGCTCGCCTTGTCGCTCAGCTGTGCGTAGGATATGGATTGTTCGATTGGAATGTGTTCAAAGACGTGCCAGTGAACGAAGAGCTTGATGGCAGCCATCTCGTTGCTTTGGACGATGTGCAACAGCCACTGGTCCTGGGGCTGTGCCACAAGGTTGCGAATGTTTCCTGTCAGGCTGAGAATCCTGGACTGGAGGGAAGCCTCCTGTGCTTGGCCCATGTTGCCACGGAGCGTATACTCCGTGATTGCTCCAAGCAGGTTCGTTGCCAGCTGTCGAAGGTCGTGGCAGTTCTCAAGTGACCTAAAGGCATCCATTGCTGCGTCTAGAAGGTGGTTCGACGTAAAAGAAAGTGACGAATGCGGCGACAAAGGCACACGGTCTGGAAGTTGATTGAACGCTGAAGTTCAGTATACGCAAGATTATGTGTCTGCCTGACTTGCGGCAAGACGGTCTTTGAAGACGACGCACTTGACTACGAACGCCCTTTGTACTGTACCGTACTGTAGATGCAGGGAAGACAGCCCGAAGTCTAAGTGGCACTGTTTTCTCTTGGTGTAGAACCAAAACCCGCCGTATACCTACCTAGACCGACTGGGAGCCGCGCGTCACAACACTCACTTAGCGGTGTGGGTCCGGCTGTTAGTAGATACGTGGTTTTCTGCTTTTCGGGAGCCCAAAATGACTTCGGCGCGAATACCGAGTGCAGCAATTGCTTCGCCATGGTGATCAACTTGTGGCTCCCAGAGGAAATCGTGGATCCCCAGCCCTGACTGCTTGCGAACAAGGGGGAATGTATGTATGTACGTACCATGCAGGCATCAAATCTTTGCTTGTGGCCAGGTTTTACCCCCTGTCATCAACAAAGCTGAGCATAATCAATCTTCTTTTAGCAACTCCTCGTGCGCAGTGGCAGGAATTACTGTTTGATGCAGTTCCCAGACAGCACGTCAGCCCTCGTTCAAGCTGTATGACAATTTGGCTTTCGATGAACGCAAAGTTTGAGTGGGTTGCACAATATACGGCCACAGTGTGGAAAGGGCGAAGACCGGCGAAGACTATCGACTTTTGTTGGTGGGCCCTGCCTAATGTTCCTTCCTCTATCGACGAAGCCTTCAGGCTATCCATTCCAACCCTATGCTACTACTGAAGATGTCGGCATCTTACGTCCCCATACCTTCTTGAACCAATACCACGGGTGCGTTGTTTTCGAGGCCATTTCCGCTTGCAGAGCTGTATTGTAATCCTCGATTTGTTCAATACTCCAACCAGCCGAGGTGCCTGGGCGCACAACAAACCCCAAGGCGTCCTTCTCCATTACTGCTTGCGCATACTGGCCCAGCTGTCTTTTCTTTACATCTTCCGGCCATGCTCCGATCGGTATCTGAGATCCATTGTCAGACTTCGCCTGCGAAATTGCAATGTCGCAATGCCTACCTTGCAGCTAAATTCCTGGACGTCGATGAAGCCTGCCTCCTCTATGGCCTGTCTCTGTATGCCGTGCCGCACTACAGAAAATGTTGGGCCAGTTTGTTCGCCATACTGGTCGAATATTCCAAACCATTGATACCAGGCACTTCTTTCGTTCACTGTGCCGTCGTCACTCTCGATCAGAAACGATGGCTCCGAGCTCTCAAGAACCCCGCCTGGTCGTAAACATCGGTAAGCCTCCTTCATCGTGGATTTCCAATTAAGAACAGAGCCGGTGAGGAATCGCATGTGAACGTAGTCGAGGGAGTTGTCGTCGAATGTCCATCGTTCGTTGAAGTCGTCAATATGGCTAGAAGACGAGTCAGTTTCAACTTACTTACGCAAGCGGCAGGCAGAGTGGAGATGGAGAAATTCAAAAATAGGCTGAACCGACAAATGTACATTCGATGGAACATATACAGGCTGGATTGGTGACAGGTCGATTCCAATCACGACGACGTGCGGGTAGGTTTCACCAACTTCACTGAGGTGCTGATGTTAGCAACGCTTTTGCACAATCATCGCTTGAGACGGCCATACATAGCCCAGGTGCCTGTTCCCGTTCCAACGTCTACGATTTTCTATGACAAGATAAGCACATATGCGAGATGACCTGGTCCGCAGTAGCAATACCTGAGCATTCTTCGGGAGTTTGGCATGGAAAAGCCTGCCATCAGAAGCTTCACAAAAGAGAGCGTGGCTGACAGAACCTCGTTAGTAACAAGCTTGCTTTTTGGTTTCGTGTCTGGCTATTCTCACCAAACTTCCATTGCGTCACGCTGCGGACCGTCATGCGGGCCCTAGAGGAAAGCGTCAGTACTCAGTTGTTTCGTGCCGTTTGGCTCCACGTACCAGTAAGTAGAACCAAACCGATCGCTGTGATAAATCCTGCCATGACAGTCTTCATAATCCAAAATGCTGGACGTCATCGACTTGGTTGAGCCTTGTTCGTCATCGAGGCCTGAATCGAATTCGTTGTCTTGCAAATCTGCCTGGGTAGGTTTTCTATCAGTGCTACCGATGCGACATTTGGAAAGAGAGATCTTACTGCAGGTGGAGTTTCAGGAGGCGTCTGTTCCGTAAAGGTCGAGAACACGTAGCTAGGTTGCCTTGCCTCTGGCCCATCCAAAGTCACTGGGGGCCACGCGGTCGACTCAGGAGGTGCATCAGACATCTCCAAAAGAAGTAGAATAACTGAGATATTCTAGAGAGAACTTTTGGTCACCTTCGATCGGAATTTCAGGCTCTTTATATATCTAGCTACTGGTGGCGCAGGTGTTGGATTAGCCGTTGGGTTAGCCGTTGGGTTAGCTAGGTAAAGGGGCGCAGTACCTTGGTACCGCTACATTGCAACCAACTATGGGGCCTCTCTGGGCCCTTTGAGTGGAAGGATTAAGGAGTGATCAACGTCGTCAGGTTAGGGATCGTTTCCAAGACTGAAACCGGCTGCATGGGTGATTCGTGGCCAAGGACATTAACACGAGCTACCGTTGGTGAGAGGCTGGACCTCTACGTTTCGAAAGAAGGTGCTGGTGGGGTAGTTATTATCATAACGTAGAAGTGAGCCATTGCATGTTGAATACCAAGACTGTCCGAGTTATCGTCGGGATTTACACTATCCAGCTTCTAACGGGAGATTCACCCGAGCCTGGCCCGAAGAGCTCTTATTCTCATAAACCGCTATCGCGTGATCCGAGAGAAGCAGCGTGTGGCCCTTCACGTAAACTCCCTCATCTAGGGCAGAGACTTCCACAACAACGCCCAACCGACTATTCGGCAACCCACGAACCCCAAGCATCAATCACGACGAGTGTGTACACACAGATCCATAGCGTACCAAGATACTAACATGCCAACAACTCAACGGAGGGGAGGATTGGCTTCGGGGGTTCTAGTAAGGATGAATCTGAAGATGAGAATAGCCCGCTGGTGTAACAATCCAGCATCTGTTCGCTATCTCCTTGAACCAAATCCCCATTAGGAAGTAACTAAGTTGAGCTACCGCGGGCAAGCTTTTTGCAGTGTAATACGAGACGTGTGAGCCCGAACGGGGCACTACGTTGCTGTGATCAAATACTGTTAGTTGTTTCCGACAGAATCGACTTTGATCGGAATTACTCACCAGCTCATGGCCCGTAGCGACGGCATTGCTCGACACTCCGATTCAGACCGAGATGTATACCCGTCAACCAACCTCATCGAGAATGCAGCCGCTCTCGTCAAGACTGCTTCTCCACCAGCCTTGCCTTCGAGTCCAGCATCGCCGCGTGAACCGTAAATACCATCGCAAATTGCAGCGTGGTAGCCATCATGCTGTACAGTGACCAAAAGCACCACAGGCCTGATGAAAGCCAGATACCACGCATTAAATTATGTGCATATCTAGGAATTCCACTCCGATCAGTGTCAGACCGCAGAGAAGCGTCTCCGCGACCAGAATCGGTCACAAAAGCGCTTAGCTTGTGGATCATTATCGCAGCAGCAGCTACATGCCAGTGCTTGGCAAGGAGACCAAAAGTAATGATAACGATGTAGGCGGCGTGAAATCGAATGAAATTATGCCTGATGCGCTGTTGCAGGTCTTTGAAGGATCTTGGGAGAGTAAGGTAGTTGGGGTTAACAAGGTCGAATAGGGGACTCCTAGCTGAATTCTCGAGTACGCGAGCGACGTAAGGCCAATAGTTTTCCCTCAACACAGAAAGGATGACCCGAAGGTCTTCGAGAGATAGCATGTCAAGCTAGGCGTAAAGTGGGATAATTCGCTTGGAAAATCCAACTTGCAGAATGTTGAAAGATATAGGTTATGATCGTAAAAAAGTGCCCCGCTACCGCGCCGGTTCTTGCCGCTATTACTAACTTCAAAGCACGATATATTCTCTGTACTCCGAGTTACTGTAACAACAGCACCGCGATTAGTAGCTTTAGTGATCAAGTGGTATGGTCTCTTACGCGTTACCTGGCAAATTTAGCATTCTGTGTGAAACAACAGATGTCAAGTTTGGGAACGATGCTAAGAGTGGCGAAGGAGATTACGGTACAGTGAGGTGGGAACTGACGAGGTCACTCTCTTAGTAAGGTATAGGAGCCAGAATCATCTCAGTCCCAACGTACACAACGAAGAAGCGGCTATGAATGTATCACACAGGCGTTCCATTTGGGTTTCCTGTCTCTAATGGCTGTGAGAACTCAAGAACTGACGTAAACAGGCCTGTATCTCGTCTGATAGGCTGATACTGGGACTCGCCCCAAACTCAGATGTGCTTGTCCGGCTGTCGGCTTTCGTGCTGTCTCCGTTCTTCAGCTTAGGCTAGCTTAGTCTGAGAACACGCTGTTGTGCCTGGGAAGTGGCTAAACATATCATGTGACTACTATTCAGTCGCTGCACCACGGTCCAGCCGAAAGGCACGCTTCTTGACATCATTGGTGCAAGACTGGTTGGTGCATTTGAGAGATGGCTAAGGTGGTCCGAGCTCATGTGCCCAGAGTGGAGAACACGTAGGCCAGTGACGGGCTTACGTTCCGGCGTATACACATCAGCATACTTCATCGTTATAGACACCTTGCCGATGGCTAGGGTATCACCAGCAACGACGACGGCGTTGATTACAAGTCGCGATCGCGATGATGACGTGATATTCTTAGGCCCGGAGACCAGCGCGCGGTGCACACTGGCATACAACATGGACACCTTGCCGATGGCTGTGGCATTGGGAACGACGAGAACAGCATCGCCACCAAGCCACGACCACAACAACGACGTGATCTACTTAGGGTCAAGGACAGGTCCGTAGTGCGCAACCAACGCGAACCGACGCTGACGAGGCCACAGTTACTAAGCCATCATCTC